AATATTTTTCTCTCATTGTCAGTGTGGTGTTTATTATAGAAATATTTCTGTTTGCAGACTTCAATCAATCCAGGCGTCTTGCCTTCGAGCTTTCGTTCTCGCCGGGAGACATACCGACTGCGCATCAGGAAATCGAAATCATTCGATACGCCGCTTCACAAAAGCTAGCTCGAGAAATAGACGGATTATGGCTACCGCAGCTGTCGCTGAAGTTCCGCTAGCACCGCCGGCACCGCGCAACTATATTTTGCAGAGTCATCTTGATAATGTGTCGGTTCTTCCTCTGCACCTCTCTTGCCTCAACTCGCTTTTTGCACATTCTTTTAAACAACCGTTTTAGAAATTCATTCGTTTCTGAATCTTCTCGCACGCGTGGTTAATTTAATGAGTGACCAACTTCGAAAAATCGCTAAAAGTTTCCTTAATCAAGGCGAGTTTTAGCCGACAGACTACTGCCCGTTTTTGCTAATGTAGTTCAATTTTAATCTTGGTTCAACTAACTCTTCATCCTTTTCTATAATAGTTCTAAGAATTAGATCTATATATTGGTAGAAACGGACATATATCGTATAATCGGAATGTTTTATCTCTTTCTAATGGAAATCAAAATCACTAAGTAGCGATTTTATATTTAAAAGAATATGATTTGTGTGACGATACAACATTTGTGCGTAACACGAATGACGCGCGATTTCCGTGTAGTATCACGATGCGAATTTTCTATCAAATTCTTGACGACTTTTATAGGTGATAAAAGGTCACAAACAGTTATAAATTCGCTAAATCAACGATATACTCTCTCGTATTTCTGTATGTTTCATTAGTACTTAACATGAGATCCTTTTCATAAACAACCATGCCCATCTTTATGTTCAATTAACTGCAGATATGCATCAGTAATGCATAAATATTGAGAAATTTATTTGAATTAATTTATCCTTTAATATTAAGTAAATTATTTACCGTAAATACGCGCTACTTTGCCGAGGAAAATCTCTTTATCATGTTGATTGTTAAAGCGAAGTAAATATATTCATTCTATGTATGTATTATATTTATCTTCCTTTAGCATCAAACAATTATATAAATGTATTTACATATATGTAATTGCATAATCCTCGATATCGTGCAATTTGATTAAAAATTATCAATTTCGTTACTCTGTTTATTTTACCTCATTTTCGTGTCTTTAATCAATTCACAGGAACAAGTCAGTGAGATGTCGATTATCTCTCTGTCGAGTATCCATTTCACGATGTAATTAAATATCTAATAATATACTAATAGTTTTAATTACTAAATAGCATTATCATCTATAAACCGTAAGTAAACTAATTCGTAATCAACATCATAGTTGTCATTCTTTTTTCTCCATCAGAGATAATCGATATAATACTGCTCAATAAATATGCACGACCGAAATGTATGGTGTTCTATGAATTATAAATAACTACTAATGAATATTTGATACTCAGATACAAACCGTCCAAATTCAGCGATGTATGATACGTGATAGATTGATAGAGAGAGAGAGAGAGAGAGAGAGAGAGAGAGAGAGAGAGAGATTGATAATCGTTAAATGGTCCAGCACATATTTCTATGATGCGAATTCGTTCGCATAGTAGATAACGTTTTAATATTTATGATTTGCAACCAATATAGTTTGTAAAAAAAATAAATAAATAAATTCTTGGAAGGTTTATTGCTCCGCTGTACCGTCAAAATTAAAATTGATACTAAACCTATGCTATAGTAACTAACAAGGAAAGCTCCTTTGCAAATCATAAAGTGTTACATTCTAATTTTAATGGAAACTTCGTACACATACAGGTTATGCAAATAGAAAAATTTTAAAAATATTAGATGGTGCAAAAAGATGGTTTTAATTAATTATTCAAGATATCAAAAAATATTTTTTTACACAAAAATTTCATAATAAAAAATTGTTTTTAAAATGTATATTTAAAAAAAATATATTATTGGAAAAATAAACGTAATTTTATAATAAAACTTTTATATAAAACACATTTTTTGATATCTTGAATAGCTCTTGAGATACAAAAAAGAGAGAAAGGATCGAGTTAAAACTCGCTTTATTTATAAAAAATAATTTCATCCCTAAAATCATCTTTCCATATTAATTAATATCTTTCAAATATTTATTATTTACGTTAATCTTTACGTACGTTTATAAAGAATGATTTTATCCCTAAAATCTTTTTCGCATCAACTGA